AGTTAGTTTACATTGTGGCTGAAAAGCCCCTAAGGGGGAGCTTCAATTTACGTATTTATTTATTTTATTTATTTATGAGAGGTGCCGGCTGGCGTGCTGTCTTTTCTTTCACTCTTATCGTTCACTCTGGCATGGAAAGAGAGCAGTCCTTCTTCTTCGGCGAAGTCCGTCGCGCGGACAAAAAAAGAAAAAATTATGTTTGCGCGCCGCGCGGAACTCTGCGAGTGATAGGCACCTAAAGCCTCATTCCCAGAGTTCCACGCGGCACTTAAACATCAATTTTTGTTTTGCTCGCGCGACGGACTTCGCAGAAAAGGAGGGAGTGCTCGAAGTCTAATATGAAAATAATCATAGGGAAGAGACAGTGGCCTTCAATCTTCAATAACGACTTGGGTATGTCCCTTCGACAGAGGCAGCATTGTGATATTGTCATTGTTTGTATTTGCCATGGGAGAAAATTGATTTTCCACAGAAAGTCCATTTCTTAGGTTTGCTCACAATATGAAAGTTTGAACCTTGATTAATTAATCTTGACAGTATTATTTGACTCTGCTCATAAGGAGCTATGTTTTCATATGATTTTCAGGGCAAGCAGAGTATATTACAAATGGCAGAACGGATCGCTAACTTGCAGTCTGAATATGGTTTGTCTACGTCTGTGGAAGAATTTAAAAAGCAGTACAACTTTGGCCTGGTGGAGGTTGTGTTTGAATGGGCGAGAGGAATGCCTTTTTCTGAAATAACCAACTTGACAGATGTGCAGGAAGGTAGGAGAAAGCAACCAGCATGTTCAAGTTACCAGATGGAGGACTGGTATTTTTTTGCCTCCGGTTGCCTAACTCTCCGAGGAATAATATACCAACTGATTGAAGTTTAAGTTAGGGTTCTTTCTCGACTTGCAATTTATACTTTGTGGTTTCCTATAACTGTTTTGAACGATCAGGAAAAGATATTGCGATTTGAGTGCTGGTGGGGTTCCATCGCCTCCTTTGGATTGAAAAAGACTGGAGAAAGATGTTGTTCACTTGTTACAAGCAAAAGAGTAACCCTTGAGGATTCGAAGTTAATCTCTCTATTTGTTTGTTCTTTACTGAACTACAGAGAGTTCGTCGCAGAGGTTCACTCTGTGGAGAGTCTAAAGGGTTCCACCCCCTACTTTAGTGAAAGATGTTTAACCTTTGTTATGAACATTAGGTGACGTGTGAGGATTCGAACTTCAAATCTGTCGATTTTTTTTGACTGAACTACCTAGTTTCACTCTGCAGAGATACTCAACTTTATAAATACTAAAAGAATTATTTCAATTATTTTTTCAGGGATCATTGTTCGCTGCATTCAGCGACTAGACGAGACATGTCGTGATGTTAGAAATGCCGCTCGCATCATCGGGGATCCAAAGCTTGGAGAGAAGATGGAGGAAGCGTCCGCTATGATCAAAAGGGACATTGTATTCGCAGCAAGTCTGTACACGCAATGAATTAGTAGCGGGAAATAGACAATTATATCAAAACAATTTTAGCCGCAGCTGAGTCATGGTAGGATTTCGTCTTGTAAAGATTAAGTTTGATTTTCATCCATTACTTAAAACTGACAGTGCTCTCGGAGCTGCGGGTTTTGAGGTCACCCATGTTGCTGGTCAGCCTGGTTTGTACTTAGAAATCCGTGACTTAAAAGCGCTGTTAGAACAGTCATCATACGAGATGTTAAAACTCATCTGCTTAAATTCTTTAGGAGAATACTTCGTTAAATTTGAATTAAAAGCTAAAGGCTGAAGAGTCCCACCCTGGTTAGAGAACTCAACTTTCAATTTTTTTTTAGACTTAGCTCATGCTCTTACAGGTATAAACTTCGTATTTTTCCAAATATCTTTTTTATCACGTATCTTGCGTAACTCATAACTCTTGGTTTAAGAAATGACATTTCGAATCTTTGAGATTTAGCTCAAAATAAACAAATAGGTTTGAATTAACTCAGAATACGTTTTGCATTTTTCCAAATGTCTTTTTTATCACTTAACTTACGTGATTCGTTAAATGTGAAATTAGACGTCTAAGGTGTTTTCTCACGAATAGAATCCAATTCACTCTAAAACCGGTCAAACCGGATGTAACAATGTAACGCGTTCTACTCACTTTGATGTGTCCAACCATCGGTAAATTCTTTGTTTTGGATTCTGTTATCTTTCCAGTGAGAGCAATATCAAGTGATACACATTTCCATATTAATTGACGCAACAGAGCGATTCATCATCTTCATCATCGTCATCATTACTATAAGATCACTATCGTCATCCCCATTATAACCAATATCATTATTATTATTATTATTATTATTATTATTTGTGATCTTTAGAATGAAATAATCATGTCAAATGGAACCTATGACAGATTTTATTTTAATTTAGCTTATACTATATTGTAGGAATAGAATTTTAGTGAATGGATAATAATAAAAAAAGTTTTAGGTTCATCATCATTATTATTATTATTATCATTATCATTGTAAACTATTTAGAGTTCGAAACATCAATGAAAATATAATTTATAAGGTATACAAATGAAATTGATACCACCAATTCCAAGAAGTGTTTTTTAAGGTACGCGTGTAGCAGCCCCAGGGGCACAAGATGATTATCCGAGGTTCCTCCCGAGTGCTTCATCCACAACTATCACAATTTTTACACTCCAAACCACATGAAACCACAAAATGTAACAACTTTGTTAAACTCAATATGTAACTTGACAAAGAATACATTGACAAAAGTAACGCTAAATGGAATAAGACGAAATCTGTGGCCCCACACATGAGCATGATTTTACGTAGAAGAAAAATTCAACCTTTTCCGTCTCTTAATATTCATTTGGACAAAATTTACATCAAAAAGGTGTAAGCGATGACGATTTTTCGAAAACCTCTAGAAAACGTTGTAAAGCAGTTATTGTCACACGTTGGAAAAATACTGAATTAAGAGTTGCATGAAGATCAAAGTACATCAACTAAGATACATGGTCTCTCTGAAATAATGATGACAGCGTATGCCAGTTCCTGTCCCGTCCATAATCTACCTTCTAAAAACACGAAATCACATTTACTGATCACTTATTGAATAAAAGATTTCAAAAGAAGCTACAAACTGGATCACTTTATTTAAGAAGTGGTCATACAAATCAGAATAACAACCGATTCCTAACTCGATCGTGCTTTAGTTTACTTTCTGTTTCCTTGAGGAACCTGACAAACAGCGTAGGACGGATCTAAACATAAGTATGATGATCAATAAAACAACGACTAAAACTAAGAGTACCACGAATAAAACATCAATGAAGAAGAGCTTATAAAACGGCAGATCCAGGCCACGAGGTCTCAGGTACTGCAAACCACCTTGAGCTTGCGTATATTCCACCCAATCAGCGGCTTCCTTGACGGGTGAACGTGGCAACTGCTGTACAGATTTTGATATTCGTTGTGCTTTCTCTCGATAGCTAAAGGGATAAAATTGGAACTGTTGATATTGATATCAGGTTGAGGCAAGGAGATCAATAGTACAGCGATATTTAACAACGATTCACCAAAGTGGAGGTGGTTAATGGTGGATATTTTTTGAGCCACGAAGCGGCGAGGTAATTATCCATCCCTAGCCACCGACACTGAGGTGAACACATGTTTTAGTATTTACTGAGACAGTGAGGTAACATATAACAAAAGATATTTCTTTTAACCCATTTTTTCCTGCAACCGTTACAATATTTTCGGGCGCAAATTCCGCGGAAGTTCTCGGAGGTGAATAGCAAACGATGTTGGGAGTTTGAGAAGCCAATAAGAGTGCACCTTCAATTTTATTCCCTATTTAACAATTATTCCACGAGCGTGCTTTGGATATGAGATGATAGAAAGCCAACGAGGCGCGTAGCGCCGAGTTGGCTATAATCATCTCATATCCAACAAGCACGAGTGGAATAATTGTTTTATTTAAAAAAAA